GTTAATTCCACGTATGGCTTCTTAGAACTAACTTACTTTTTATTTTTTATTAACTTTCTTTCCCAATATTTTTGATTCAAAGTAAAAATTGTTTGATAGGCAATTTTTGTTTATTATTTATAATTACAATTTAATTAAAATTTTATGTTATTCGATAAATTGCAAACGGATATTACGTAACGCGTCACGAATGTTTATTTTAAAAAGTGCAAGTAGAATTTTATTACGAAAGAAAAAAAAATTTATTTTATTTGATAAAAACGACTTTTATTTATTGGAAAGGTAGAGGGCAATCTTTATTTGAATTTGTTATGGGCAATTCTGTTTTACTACACGTATCATGCAGAGTAAAGCCTGGTGGTGACGTAACAATATGAATTCCTCGTATTAAAACAATGAACATATAATTTTTTTGGAAAGATTAGGACTCGAAAACTGATTTGCGGCCGATTTTACATTTTTCACCATATCTACGGAACGAATTAATGGAATTTCTTGAAATTTGATATTTGAGTTCTGGTTGTTACCGAAAATAACTGTCGAGCATTTCAGGGAATTCGGATAGCACAAAGCGAAACTCTACTAAGAGCCAAATTTAAAGTTTTTTAGGTATGTTAACTATAAATTGAAAAGAAGTATTTAACAGACATTTTTATAATATTTCGTAACAGTTTCACTTAACTAGACAATACACAGTGCCGTCGGTTATGTGCTGATCACATCAGATTTTTTCAGGATGTTTTTCCGCATAATATTGCGGCATATAAGTGCAAAACTCCTCTCATTCTATTTTTATTATTTCTTTTTTTTTTCCTCCGAGTCCTTGTATGAGGACTTTTGTTTTGACAACTCCAGAACTTGGTATTTAACTCAAAGTTCCAGCGGCCTAAACTGTCGGTATTTTTGTTAATTCCTTGTAAGAATGTCTCAAAAGTTGTTGTGCCCCTCCCGCTGTACCTCCTTGTTATTCTTATCCTCTTCATGTTTTTTATTGAATATTATATTTGTTTATAATAAATGCAGTTCTAATGTCTGCTTGTTGAATAATGATGAAATTTTCTAATTTCTTCCTAAATTAATAGGTGAAACAAAAATTTATAACAGAAGGAATTTTTTATTTTTTCTTTAAAAACTAATTCTGACCTTTTGTTTTCAGGAAGCAATTACGATTCGTAACGTGGTGTTGTGTTATCAATGTTATTATTTATGTCAGTTCCTTTTACATTAAATCATACATATAGTATGATTTTATTATAGTTATACACAAAAAGACTTGAATATTTTATTTTTCTACTGTTCAGCTTTTTAAGCACTACTTTTCAGTTTTTTTGAATGGAAAATTTTTACTTTTCAGTTTTTAAGCAAAATGTACATACTGAAAATTATAAAATATATGAAAAAATTCAAGTAGGTACGAAAACCAAATATTAAAATTATAATTAACGACGTGACTCTTTTTAATTTTTAGTTTCTGAAAAATTTTATTTCGGTGTGCGTAGCGACATCTAACCGAAAAATGTTTCAATTCAGAATCTTTTACTTATTTCTGCTTTAAGTAAATTTGAAACCTATATAATACGTAAGTTAACACGGGAAAATTATGAATTTTATAAATGCGTAAAATTGCTTCTATTTTATCTATTTCTGTGGGAAATAATTAATTTTAAATAGTACGAGAAAAAAAAGAGTTGACCTTGTCAACTCTGTGATACCCGTACGAATTTGTTATATGTGCGAATAAATTTGACATAACTGACTATGTGACTTTAAGTTGCCGTATTACCATATTAATTTATGCAAAATTTCAGTACTGTGTTTCTCAAAATACTGTGTGTGCCAAACTACTATTTAAGTTGTACGGCAGCTACCAGAAGAAGTCAAGCAATTTCAATGACTTTTATCAAACACATTGGCCCTACTAATATATTCGCTCGTGTGAAATTTCAATACCACAGCTTTCATAGTTTCTGAGATATAGCCAAATAACTTTTGAAGTTGTATGGCAGGTACCAGAAGAAGTCCAGTAATTTCAACGACTTTCATCAGACACATTGGTCCTGCTAATATATTCATTTGTGTGAAATTTTAATAACATAGCTTTTATAATTTCTGAGATATAGCCAAATAAATTTTGAAATTGTATGGCAGCTACCCGAACCGGTACACAGATCATTCCCAATTTAAATAGGGTTCTGGCAATTACTACAATAAATCACTTGTGAAAATTTGGTGAACTTAGCTCAATTAGTTTTTGAGTTATCGTTGGGACGGACGAGCGGACGGACGGACAGACAAAGCTAAATCAACTCAGAATTTGACGGTGATCAAAAACATACACTTGGGTCTATGTCTAAGACCGTTATTTCTTAGCGTTACAAACGGTAAGGCAAATTTAGTATACCCTTCGAACATATGTACGTTCGTACGGGTATAAAAATCTTTGTATAAAAAGTTTAGATAATAAATAAATAAATTAACTTCGAACCAAGCTTTCAATTAAACTATCTAACATCTGAAATTATAGATCTTAATATTACAATTAATAGAATGATAGGTGGTATTGAGTATAGATTAGAATGTTCCCAAATATCAAATAATGACCATGAAAAGAATATTCTGCCACAGACAATGAACTTTTAGAAATAGTTCGAGGCAATCAACAATTTCCGACCATATCTTTTGAAAATTGAATATTTCCACAAATCATCCGTTGAAATATCTATTCGTTAAATACAAAGGAAGAGTTTTAGCCCCAAATATCAAAGATATTAAGGGAAGAGCCAATAACGCAGCAGACTTTGTACTTTGGCTAATATTAAAACAATATCTCAATAATTATCAGAAATTATACAAAATGACATTAACGATTACTTGACAATGAAAAAATAGAATCAAAATAGGAGTCACCTACACTTCGGTCAACTTTTGGTTTACAAAAGTAGTAAATTAACCGTAACAGAGTTTTCACGAGTTGAGTAATCATTTCATTTAGAAATATTGAAAATATAACATTCAACATTCCAAAGCTCACGACCTTTTTCTAACATAAAACCATTTTCATACAAAAAAATTATCAAAAGTTGTTTTACCTTGATCACTTTCCCATCCTCTCATTTTTTCCACTTTCTCCTCATTAAAATTAGAAAACGGAATTGTTGTTGCAATTGGTTCTAATTTATTATTTAAAAGCGGAGCTGACTTTGAAAAACATACCATTGTCGTTCTACTTTGACAACTAAAATAAGGCATTAAGTCTTGGTTTCCTTTTCTGTCTGTGTTGATAAAATTTTACTTGTGCTTGGTACATTGCTTGCTTTACTTACTGCTTCTGGCAAGTTTGTAATTGCATTCCTCGATGAGAGAACTCCAACGCTTCAACTTTGTGTTATTATTCCGGTTGCTAATCGGAAATGTCAATGACTGGTGATCAGTTAGAGTCTTGATTTTCTTTGTGCATATCAGTATTTACTTTTTGGACTGATTTGCTTTGAGAAGCCATTGGCTCTTGTTAATTTAGGGTTAAAGGACCACCGACTGCTGCAAAATAAGTAAATCTTCGATAACTGGATGTTAGATCGAGAAACTCTTTAAGGTCTTTAGGTGCTCGTCTTAGTTTTTACATACAAATATGATAAGGTCAGCGATGTGAACGTAGCAGATTTTTTTCTTTGAACTTCTTAAACACCTCATCGATCAGCCTTTGGAATAGTTTCCCAGGCTTGCGATAGTATTTGTGATATCCAGAATCAGGTACTCTAAAGTCGACTACTATTTTCTGTATTTCTTGATACCGGAAGCGTCCAGATTTCTTTCAAATGTCTAAATAAGGTAGTTGTACGGGCTAACTACTTGCAAATCTTTTTCTTCTTTGGCCAATCGTAGACTCTCTTGTGGAACAGTTTGACTGGTAGCTTCGATATTGTTTAAAACTTGTTCTGCTTTATTTAACCTTTTTTCTAATTTTTTTTATCATTTCTGGCTAATCAGCTGACAAACTCGATTGCGTTATGGTTTGTTGGTTTTCCTCCATATTTTTATTATTTTTTTTTTTATTATTTCTTGACTTTACTTACAAGATGTAGGCTTAATTGTTCATTCAAGTTGGCTTTGGTAAAGAATTCGCTTCTTGATCCACGTTTCCTCAAAGACTTGTGATTTTCTCGGATTGACGTTTCCTCGGATTGGTGGAAACCTCGTAGAGTTTCCGATTGAAATAAAACTTGCGGTAAATATTACTGATACAAGATGCCCATGCTATGTTCCCACGCGTATAGTTGTGGTATTTCGTAAACTGTGAGAAGTTCTGAAATTGTCCTTCTTCTCCTGGACATAGTAGTTGCCATTTTCCTTGAAGTTGCCTGCCTGACTTATGTCTAGCTAACGAGATTTATCGTGTTGAAGTTTTAATTCAAACTTTGAAATTAAATCCAAATCTTTATTGTACTACTTAATCGAGTTACAATTTAAAACTTTCTAAATCCTAAATATAGTTGCCAGAAGAAATGTGACAATAATCCAATCTTTTCAAATTTCGATGGGCCTTTCAGTGATAGTTCGCGGTGAATATCTGAATTCTTTCGTGATTTTTTTGCTGAATCATATTAACAACTATCCTAAATCTACCTTTATTGAATTTGCCACGAACTCTACAGTGGGTGAAAAACATCGTTAATATTTTAGCTGTTGCTTTTCTCGAGATAGAGATGTAGTTCCTGAAATAGCTTTACGTAAATGTCGTTTCCATTTAGCTTTCCTTTTTAATAATTCTCACTACAAAATTAATACATTATATTGTTTACCATAGTATTTATTTTATGATTGAAATTACTATACTAGAAAGAGTGGAACATTCGAGTTGAAATCAGGATGTTTGGTAACCGTACTTTCAAATCACCGTGAAAAATTCCCACCAAAATGATCATCCAGGAGATTTATTTTATGATATTAATATTAGATTCGAATTTTTTAAAAATGTTTTTAAATAAAACAAAAACTTTATATTCATTATCAGATCAAATTAATGTTTTATATCTTTAATGCTCACTCAAAATATTTCTACAATAGTTTGATTGTCACCTTAATATATGTACATTTTTTTCAAACTAATTTACAACAAAAGTGTAATATTATGAAATATATTATAAGTTAAAATCAATAATCACATCTTTCCATAATTCGCAAACTATTCCTAGATACTTAAATATACATACGTACACATATAGTAATTACATAGATATTTATTTATATTACTTTGAATCGGGCTTAAAGTCATTTAGCGGTTTCTCTATTGCCTGGATTAAATTAATTTTAAAATTATCTATGTTTAATTTGGATGGAAGCGAATTTTCCATTTCGGGTTTTGTTTCACGTGATAAAATGTGAGATGGAAAGTTCGATTGTTTAATTTGATTTTCTTGAGTTTTTTTTATATCATCTTCATTTTCATTATTATTGAAAAACGATTTATTTGCAAACTCTCTTGGTGGTATCGTTGTAGATTCTGGAGCGATATTAATTAGTCTCGTCCGTTTCTTCTTGGGCTCGATGTTATAGGAATTTATATTGCCTGAATGTCGATAAGACACGTGTTTTCGTAGAGCGTCTTTACTCCGGGATACATGTGGGCAGACACTACAGGAATACCTAAAATTAAATAAGTTCGCAGATATTATACTTTTCGCTGTAATTTTATTTACCTAATATTTTGATGAGTTTCCAGATGAACTCTCAAATTGTATTGATTACTTAATTGTTTCTGACAAATAAAGCATGTCGCATAAATTTTTGTGTTTGAGGATGATTTTGCGGGTTCAGCTGCAAGAGTATTTTTAATTTGCGTCATATCAACTGTAACATTTGATTGTATTATACCCGACAAAATATCTGTTGTAGGATTATTTCCAACACATATATCTTCAAAAAAATTAATATGATCTTCCGGCTTTTTTTCTATAATCGTTCTAGGTAAACGCTCTGAGCATGATTTCATTATTGAAAATTCGTTAGCGAAATTGCTGACAGCAATTGATGAGGATGACAGACATCTTAAAATGTCTGTTATTTTGTTGAAATTGTTTATGTTGTTCAAAATTTTTCTTTCGCCTTGTGGAACTTCATTTGCGTTAATACTGCTTTCTTGCAATTTTCCATTGTCCTGACTTCTGCTTAAATAGTTGTGATACTGCTCAAAATTATTTAAGAAGTTTGAATTTTGCACTTCATCTTCAGGAATAAAGTTTGAATATATACATTTCCTTGAAAATGCGTTTGTATTTGGGCTTCTATTATCATCACTTGGTTTAGATTCAAATTGATACATTTGAACTTTGTCTTCATTTATTTTCAAAATTTTATTTACATTCTGTACCTGGAATGGAAAAAAAACTAGAGTTTTCAATTGCTAATACTAAATATTATCCTACGTTTTTATGTTTTAAGTCTGCAAGTCCTTTAATACCCAACGTTTCAGCTAGAATTAATAATCCAGGAATTTGCTCTTCAAATACGTTTGTTTCTCCAGAATACATAAAAGATATTAAAGCTACAACTATCGAAAATTTTGCGCCAGGTAAAATTATTACTGGATGATAGGTTTGTTCTAAATTTCGAAATAGTTCTGCAAAAAAATTGCTACATGCGCTTAAAACAACGCGATGTGCTTGTAAGGTCTTCCCTTCGGCCGACAACGTGACATCTGTTAAACTGGATTGATTCAGTAATAAGGGAAGCGACGTTAAAAGGCTAGCCTAAAATTTGTAAATAGGTTAGCAATTTCGAAATTTGCCAAAGTAAATAAATTTTAAAAAATGCTTTAAAAAATGTAAAATAAATTATCTGTTAACGCCTGTATTGGATATTAGATAGATTTAACTACCATACTACACTTAGTTCCATATTTGTGTATTACATATGTATACATATATTGTTTATTTATGTAATTATATCATTGCAAAATGATCTCTTAATTTAAGATATTTCTGAGAAAGGTTATGACTAAGATCATTGTAAGTGGCGACATTTCAAACCAGCGATGGTGCTCGCCGATTCTGCGGGTGAGAAAAGAGCGGAATGGTTGATCAAGCGGGCGCTAGTATTCATTACACGGAACGCTAGTATACATTACATTTCCTAGTGCGTAATAACCGTCTTCGTCCCTAGAAACAGGAGCCAGAAATGGAGAAAACGTTCGTAATTCTCTAGATAGGGATGAATGACTTTTTTGTGGGACCATGAAGAAGGCTTATATTCTTTATTTTGAAAACAATGGGGAAGATAGTAGAAAAATTATATCTGCACAGGGATGCAGATGCGTATCAGAAAAAAGGTCTATAGAGAATTCTTTATAGCTGTTAGCTAGCACTGTGGATAGGACAATAGAATAAAAGGTAACCTTATGTCTGTTCTTACACAATTAGAGATCTATTATTATTATTACTTTCACAGCAATTATTATTAAATGATGTTTAGGGCGAGGACTTTCGGCCCTGTGGACTTGCATACAATTCAAGTTGCAGAGAAGAAATCGGAGGTAAATTACATGGCAGTGGTTTTTGATTGCAAGCTGTTATTTTGAAGTTACGACCAAATTGTGTGTGTGCGGGCCACCCTTGCACTTATGGCTTGCAGGTCATCTTCTGGGTGTATATCTTGGTTTCGATAACGCTTCTGAGCTATGGAGCGGCAGCATGGACAAGAAGAGTTGTTCCTGGAAAGACTAGGAAAAAACAGAAACCAATGCAGAGACTCCCATGCCTTTGCAACAGGGGGGCTATGAGATTGTGTTCAATTGCGGCAATGCAGCTGGTCTTGAGGTTAAACCTTTTAGCCTTGTTGTTTACCTTTCTAGCGAAGGCTGCCATTCTGAGGCTGCCATAATGTAATTGTTGTTATTACTATTATTGGAAGAAACATTTAAAATTAAATCTCGCAAAATGTAAAAATTCATATCAGTATACACACAATATGAATAGTCATTGTAATTGCTTTGAAATGATCTTGAATTTTACATAACAAAATATTAAACTCAAATGAAAAAATTGTACGTAACGCAGATGACAGATGAACGGCTTCAAATTATAGCTGCTTGAACACAAAACTTTGAATTAACAAACTGAAAATTTAAAAAAATGCTAAATATCTCAAAAAAACTCATTATATTTTTTCACGATGCGCTCCATCAGTTTTTAAACCTTTCTTCTTCTTGTCTGCGTATCCTTTCCAGGATATTAGCGATCACATCTCAAGTTATATCGGAGTACAGCCTTTCAATTTCGTCGTCGTCTGCTTTTGTTGTTGAAGCATATGTCTGAATAACATTTAAAGGTATTGGTTTTTACCATTATTGTTCGATCGGAATAGGGTATGACGTTGGTCACTGATTGAAGTAGTTTTTGGGATATTATGATGTCCACGCTGTTTCTATGGTTCGCATTATCGTTACCGGAATAAAACATTTTTGCGTATTTTGTTTGACATTCGCCAGAGTTTGGTAAAAAGGTTTCGTTGAAGCTAAGAATATCAATTTTTAACCTTTCCATTTCTTTAGCAGTGCTTGCAAACTTACCACCCTTATAGAAACTTCTTATGTTCCAGGTAACAATCTTTATGTGTTGCTTTTTTTTACCTCCGGGGATTCTTAGCACCCTCGTATTGTTGGAGGATGAGGACCGTTCCTTATTTTATACTTGCATGTGATTTTAAAAGTTTGCTGTACGTAAATTTTATGGTACGCGTGCCGTTTTGCAGCTAATGTGGTAATTTATGGAGTTAATAAGAAAGTTTGCTCTAGCTTCAACAGTAGCCAATGTGTCACTCCTCCTCTACACATTCATACGATTTTTTTTTCGAAAAAAGCTCCAACAAATCACCTCCCGAAAGCTGTAACACTTTAATCTTAGCAGGCAAATAATGCACACAATACATCGCGCACAGGGTGGATATGTTTCTTTTTAGCACTTTTCCAAAAAATTTTTGAAAAAAAGTGCTTATTAGTTTCACTCTCTCCGTCCGTCCATCCGTCCGTCTGTCCGTGTGTCTATTTACAAAACTTCTACACCCTTGAAGAAAACTGAAATTTTATACGCACATAGATCTTTACTAGAAATTTATTTCCGTACAATCAAATTTTTACCTATCTCCCCCCCCTCTAGAACTTATACCCCTCCAAAACTATAAAAATGGCCTTTTTTAACTATTTGTTGCAATGAATTTGTTGCAAGGCAGCGGCTTGCTTTCCCTAGCGCAGTATACTATAGTTAAACTTTAGAAAAACAAAATGGCCGTTCAAATTTACCGTTATCTAAAGTCTTTTTTTTCCAAATTTTTGATTTGGTTTTTCTTCTAGACCCCAGCCTGTAGAAGCTTAAAATTTTAGGACTTTTAGACGTTAACAAAAAGTTTTTTTCGTTAGAAAAACTTTTTTTCCATCTCCACCCCCTCTCAAGTTATCGTCTCTTGAAATTTGTAAAATTTGAATTTTTGACACCTTATACTTCCGAAACCACAAGCTTTTTCAAATTTCTATAAACACAAAAAGCTAACGGTAAATTCCATGACATTAAAAAATGTAATTATTTTGCTTAGCTCACACAATTAACCCTTAAAATCGAGCATTATATTAACCCCACTTTACATTAATTTTTGCTTTATTTCAAAGACTGCATAAATCGTTCATCCTAAATATATGTAATCCTAGAAATAGTTTTGTATACAGGATTCAGTTAGCTCCTATGCCACTCAAGAAGATTATTTTAAATATTTAAAACTAATAAAACTAAAGAAAGTCATGCGTTCAATCACAGCTCAAGTACGTCTCGGAAGTTTCTACGAAATAGCTTAGCAGATTTGGATAACTGCAATAATTTTAAATATTTGAAGTAATAAAGCTCTATAAAGTGTATGAAGGGTTGCATTTTAGGAAATATTTTAGAATTTTAGCGATATGTTTTAGCGTTTCCGGGTAGCTGAATAGCTGGGTAGCACCAGAAATGATTGGAGTGACATCAGGAAATTTGGTAACAAATTATAGTTGACAAATAATACTCAATTATACATGTTCAAAAAATGTTTAAAACAATGTTAAACGACTTTTTAAAAAACTTTTAAGAGGTGATAAAAAAAGTACTTCAATTAAATGTGATCAATAAACTCAAGATTTTTTGAAATTATTCCAAAGAAGAAAACTGTTGAGTCCTCAATTTTCGCATTTAGAAGTACAAAATTTAATTAATAGATGGTTTTATAGCGGAGGTGGTTTATTTTATACATTCTCGTTTATAAGGAGAGTAATAAAAATTTGTTTTAGGTTTACAAATATTTAACAAAAGTAAAATTTCTACACGATATTTTGTAAGCACTCCTTGAAATATAAGTACAAAGCGATCTTTTAAGCGAGATGCTTTTAAAAGCTCTGAAAATATTTTTTCTTTAGTTAAGTAAAAATAAAGTTGGGTCAAACCAATGGTTTGTATTTTAGCATTTTTCCCTTCAAGAAATGAAAATATTACTTTGAAAAACATTCTGTGTAAACCTACCACACTATTAAAATTTTTTTCATTCATATACGAGATTATTTCTAGGATTGCATATATTTAGGATGAACGATTTATGCAGTCTTTCAAATAAAGCAAAAATAAATTTTATAATTCTCGATTTTAAGGGTTATTTGTGTGAGTTAAGAAAAATAGTTATATTTTTTAATGTCATCCGATTTACCGTTAGCTTTTTGAGGTTTTGTTAATATAAGGTGTCAAATATTCAAATTTTACAAATTTCGAGTGGCGATAACTTGAGAGTTGGTGGAGATAGACTATTTATTAATGTCTGAAAGCTGTTAAAATTTCAGACTTTTACAACCTGGGATTTAGGAGAAAACCCACATCAAAAATTTGGAAAAGACCGATTTTATATAACGTAAATTTTAGCGGCCATTTTGTTTTTTTAAAGTTCAAGTATAGTGTGCCGTGAAAGAAGAAGCAAGCCACTGCCTTCTGTGTTTGCAAAATTTCAAAAATGCTTATAGTTCTGCCACAATAAATAGTGGAATAATCGTATTTGTCGGGTTTTTGGGGGGTATAGATTGTATAGGGGGGGAGGGGGGAGAAAAAGCACATTTTTCAAAAAATTTTTTTAGAAAAGAGGTAAAAATGAAAAAAAAATTAGAAAAAAAAAGATAAAACTGTAACAAAAACAAAAAAAAGGAATAGAATTTTTCAATAAAATGTTACATTGATGGTACACATGGTTATTTTTGGAACAAAAAAAATAAAGACACTTACAGTTTCTTGTATTCTCAAATTTTTTGCATACGCTCTAATTGGGACTTAGTAAATTAGAAAGTAAGTTAATTAGATAACTTACAAACGATTTTTTTTAATACGGTTGGGTTAAATATGTTTTATCTCATTTTTGATTTCTCATATGTTTCAAAGGTTGAATTCGAGTTGTACTAAAGTAATACACGTGGCTTAACTCAAAAACCTCATTGATGACGTGGACTGTGCGTATAGTATTAAAATTTAAAGTGTTTAAGCTAAAATATAAATATAATTAAGTAAAAGACATTTTACTAATAAAAACCACTAACATTTTAAAATTGTTTTAAAATCGAACTCTCTTCTTTAAAAATTTTTAATTGTTTTAATTTTTAAGAAACCTAAATAAAAAAAACTTTATAACAAGTAAAAACGTTTTAGAGGTTATGAGCCATACAACTCCGAAAGTTAATTTTAAATATTTGGAAAAATAT